AAAAGAAAAGAAAAGAAAAGAAAAGAAGGAAGAAAGGAGGGAGGGAGAGAGACAAAAAGAGAAGAAAGGAAAGGAAGCGAAGAGAGAGAGAGAGAGAAAGAAAGAAAGAAAGAAAGAAAGAAAGAAAGAAAGAAAGAAAGAAAGAAAGAAAGAAAGAAAAGAGAGAAAGAAAGAAAGAGGGAGGAACAGAGGGAGGGAAGAAAGGAGGGAGGAAGACAGAGAGAAAGAAAGAAAAAGAAAGAGAAAAGAAAAAAGAAGAATTAGCCTGGCGTGGTAGCACGTGCCTGTGGCCTGTGGTCCCAGCTACTTGGGAGGCTGAGGCGGGAGGATCACTTGAGCCAGAGAGGTCGAGGCTGCAGTGAGCCATGATTGCACCTCTGCACTCCAGCCTGGGCAAGAGAGCAAACGCTGTCTCCTTGTCTCAAAAAAAAAGAAAGAAAGAAAAGAAAAGAAAGCAAGCACCAACTCTCCCCTCCCCCATCCCGTCCCGCCCCATCCTTTCCCAGGTACACGAGTTCAGTGCCAGGGACCAGAGTCCCCGCCTCCTGACAACCTTTAAGGTTTAATAAACAACTCCCTTCCGAGATGGTTTAAAGGCCAGCCCTGCTGGCAGCCAAAGGCAGAAGCCTCTTAGGGGCCTCTTGGAGATTCAGTGAGGTGGTGGTTATGAAAGCACTCCACCAGGGATGAAATCGCATACAAATTTCCCCATAATTTATGTACATTCCTCTCCGCCTGGGCTCCCAGGAGTCGCGCGAAGAGGCTGTTCCGTTTCCAGCCGTGGCCTCAGCGCCCCCGTGTGGCCGCCGGTGGACACAGCGCCCCGGGCGAGCCCTGCCTGCGAGGTGCGGGCCCGAGCTTTGCTAATTACCCCACGGAAGCTTCGCTGCAGCCCTTCGAGGCGGGAGAGAGGCGACAGCACACGCACCCCACCCCCAACACATGCGCGCATACACACACACACACACACACGCACGCACGCACGCACACACAGCTTTAGAAACCAGGAAACCAAGGCTAGGAAGATCACCGCTGGGCAGTGAAGGAGGTGCTATGGACCCCAGGGATGGGCGCTTCCGTGACAGGGACCACAGTGGGCATCAGTGAGGCTGCAAGGGGAACTCCCAAAGGCCTTGGACTCAAGTCCAACTCCCCCTCCAGCCTCTTCTCCCCGAACTTCCCAATAATTCTCAGAAACACCCTGCCTTCTCCTGACCCTGGGCTGCTGTTAGCTCCCTCCCTCCCTCCTTCGGCTGGAAGTCCTTCTCCTGACAAGCTGCTTCGAACCCCTCCCGGAGGCTGCTTGCTATGTCACCTCCTCCATGAAGCCTTCCAGGCCTCCCTCAGGAGGAATTACACCCCCAACCTCTGGGCATCCTCCACAGCTATTATGGGATCCCAGCAGTCGGGAATGTTTGGAGCAGGAGCCACCTTCTGTTTATCCCCAGGCCCAGCCCAGTGCCTGCCTTAGAGGAGGAGCTCAGTCACGTCCACCATGTAAATGGAATGGATTGAATGGGAGAAAATCCTGGAGGTTGGGAGGTCTTCCCAGCCAAAGCTTTGCCAGCCCTCTCCCCACCTTCGACCTGGGGCATTGGGGTTTTGACCCACCCTGGTCCTCTTTCCAATGTGTCCCTGAAAACTGAAGAGAGAACTCTAAACCGTTTGGCCTTCAAGGGTGGCCAGAGTGGGGCTGCTGGAGGGAGGAGGGGAGGTCCTGCGCCTTCTGGGACCTTCTTTGCCCAGAGCCGGCAGAGTATGGGAAGGGAAGGAGGAGAAAGGCTTGGCCTGTGCCCTGCAGCTCCAGGCATGCCCTCTGTGCCCCTCCAGCCACGAGGTAACACCCTGCTTGAGACCCTCCCCGCCACCTCTTGACAATGGCAATAGCCCTCACCATCCCTCGGGCGCCAGCGTTGGGCATTCCAGCCCACCAATAGCCAGAGTGACCATAACCGGCAGCCTGGGCATCCTGCCCTCGAATCCAGGGCTTTCCCCTCCTGCAGCACCCACTGGGCCCTGAAGAGTTTCATCTCGTGTGTGTATGGGAGTCACCAGGGAGGCTCACGTCTGGAACAGCGTCCGCTCAGGGTTGCAGGCTGTGGCACCCAGGGCCAGTGGCCCCCTTGGTCTCTGACAGTCCCCGGCCACTCCAGGACATCTGGGGCTCATATTCCCGTGGAGCAGGGAAGCATGCCCTCTGTGCACCTCGCCTCGCCTTTCAGTGGCTGCGGCTTACTTGGCTATTTGCCCCCCTTGGGGAGCTGGAGGTCTTTGGTACTTGAACAGATTCGCCACTGTGTTTCGCTACTACACATCTACGGTCCCTTAAATTATACAACTCAAGAGGGCGAACATCTGTCTCCTTGGGATCGCTGCCAAAAGGGAGGTGCAGCTCCTCCTTCTGTCCCTGTCCTCGTCCTGTCAGGCCTGCAGTGGGGCGGAGAAGCACCAGTCATTCACTCAACAAATAGTTTTTGAACCTACTACATGCCAGACACTGCTTCGGGCACATTAATGCCTGCTTCTATCCCTCCCTGAATTCCTCGCTCCCTCCACCCCTTCATCTAGTGAGTGATCTCGATGCCACATCCAGCCAAATCATACTGCAGTGTTAGCATGAGCACTTACCGTACAGATGGGGACGGCACTTCCAGAGTTATTCACAGAATGCTGAGCCCCGTCCTTGCCTTCGAGGAAAAGTAGTAAGGTGGGGCATAGTGGCTCACACCTGTAATCCTAGCACTTAAGGAGGCCAAGGCAGGAGGATCCCTTGACCCCAGGAGTTCGAGACCAGCCTGGGCAACATAGGGAAACCCTGTCTCTAAAAAAAAAATTTTTTTTTTTTTTTGAGACAGAGTCTCACTCTTTTTGCCCAGGCTGGAGTACAATGGCACGATCTCAGCTCACTGCAACCTCCACCTCCCAGATTCAAGTGATTCTCCTGTCTCAGCCTCCCGAGTAGCTGGGATTACAGGCATGCGCCACCATGCCTGGCTAATTTTGTATTTTTAGTAGAGATGGGATTTCTCCATGTTGGTCAGGCTGGTCTCAAACTCCCGACCCCAGGTGATCCACCTGCCTCGGCCTCCCAAAGTGCTGGGATTACAGGCGTGAGTCACCGCACCTGGCCTAAAAAAAATTTAAATAATTTAAAATAAAAATAGTGGTACACATGTATGAAAAGTTAAACACCTCCACAAAACCTACAGAGAGGTGATTGCGAGGAACCACTGAATGAGTGACAAGCGACATAAGTCAAGGGTGAAGGGTCCTGCCTGAAAAAGGGGAGGTGGGACCTGAGCTCTGAAGGACCAGGGGCACTTGACAGCAGAGTGGACAGCAGAGCAAAGGCCTGGAGGGCAGAAAGTGCCTGGTACGTGAAGAGGCTCCTCCGCTTGGCTGAAAGGGTGGTTGCTTGTGGGGGAGCAGTGGGGTAGGAAAGACCAGAAAGGCACCGCCTGAGACGGGAAGAGTTGGCAAAGCCGGGATACTGGGTATGGGAAAGTCCTTTTCAGGTCAGAGCTGAAGCACCTGTGATTCTCAGATCAGATCTGACCTTCAGGCATCTAAAATTAGGCTTCTGCCAATTACTTTCCCACTGCTAGAATGCTGACACATTTACAGTTGCAGAGACAGAGTTCTGTTTCTTTAAAAGACTCTTCAGTGCTATGACGGTATTTTGTGATCTCTCTGCAGCAAGGTCTATTGGTTCCTGTATCGCCAGCACCCCCAGGAAGGCGCTCAGCCTGAGCTTGTTAATGGAAAGCCAGGAGGGAGGAAGAAAGGAAGTTAAATAAGTTGTAAGTAAAGCTCGTGGCAAAGTGCTCTTTCTCTTCAGGAGGGCTGCTCTCTAATAATAAGCACGAAGCAATTACATTCTGCCGTGTGGTTATTAAATTTGGGGAAAACAAATATAATAAAATGTAGACATTTGTAGAGAGGTTGGAAATAAAATAAAAGTGGAGGATAAAAATAAAATCCATAACCACAGGTTGCTCAGAGCCTAACCTAAAGGATGTTATGGGGGAGAAAGGAGCGCTGCCCTCCCCAAGCTGCCCAAGCCTCCCCAGGAAGTGGCAGGAGCCTGGGCTGGGGAATCTGCCCAGCAGCGGTTCGAGTCCTGAGTCCACCTCTCCCCTCTGGGGCGGTGGTGAGACCCGGCAAGGGCAGAAGCCACTCCTGCTGCTGCACCATCAGCCCTAGGAGTGAGACATTTAGCCAGGGGCTGCTCTGCGACAGCTGTTGGAAGCTTTTTTTTTTTTGCTAGAGATTGGGTGGCGGTGGTGGTGGTGGTGGTGGTGGCGGCGGCGGGGGGGTGGGGGGCTGTTACTATGTTGCCCAGGCTGGTCTCGAACTCCTGGCCTCAAGCAATCCGCAGACATCGGCCTCCCCCAGTGCTGGGATTACAGGCGTGAGCCACTGAGTCCAGCCTTAACTTACTTTTATTGTACATCAATTCCTAAAGAAATTGGAAGCAGCAGGCAGAAACGCTCCCTTTTATGGAAAGAAGAGCCCAGGGCCCTGGTCATGACAGGTTCGGTTCCCTAAAAGGAGACAGGAAGAAAACGTGAGGCGCCAGAGCAAGAGGTTCTACAAGGTGCACACGAGGGTCCCTGCCATTCAACGACGAATTCTCTGCGTAGATGCCACGCGCACAGGTCCAATGAAAGCCGTGGAGAATAAGCGTTAGCTCTTCAAACTGAATCTGAGCTAAAATCTAGCGAAGCCAGGCTGGGGTTTGGGAGGCTGCGGGGGAAGACAGTAATGGGTGAATGGGGAAGAGCGGGGGGTCGTGGGAGGAAGGGATAGGGAGGAGAGGAGGTGGGCGAGGAGGGGGAGGAGAGAGGCGGAGGGAGGGCGGCAGCCAGGACGCTCCATTCCATTCTTGGAGCTGCATTGTTGACCTCAACCACAAGGGGGCAGGGCTGCTGACATTGGAAGGACGAACGCCTAAATGTTTCTTGACCCTCGGCAGGCACCGTATCCAGTTTCCTCCGTTGTGAAGGAGGGTTTTAGTGCCCGGAAACGGAAGTCTCGTTCTTTTTCGTCCTCTTCCCCGGCTGTGGCTCGCTGCGAGCGTTTGTAGGGTGGTACACGGGTGAGAAGGTAATCTGGGGCAATCCACAGCCAGGTGAAATCTGGGGACCCCAGGTCCGCGTGGAGGGTGTCGGGGAGGAGAAAGGGAGTGCGATGGGGCCGATATTTTGGGGGGAGGGCGGGAAAGCGGGGCTCGCTGCCCGCCCCCGTGCCTTGTTAACTCCGAGGATTGTTTCCCGCAGGTCCCGGTGCGCGCCGGCTCCCAGCGCGTCTCGTCACCATGGTGAGTACGGCCCCTGTCTGGCGCCTTCCCGGGGTGGGCTCGTGGGGCCCCGGGCGAGGGCGAGGGAGCCTCCCAGGGATCTCCGGAGGCCGGGAGGAGCTGGCGGACTGGACCGTCACCGGAAAACGTGAGTCTTTGCAGTCTGTTTACCCGCTTCCTTTGTGTTGCAGCCTCGGAAAATTGAGGAAATCAAGGATTTTCTGCTCACAGCCCGACGAAAAGACGCCAAATGTAAGTGAATGTTCTGAAGGTTCAAGGTGAGCTCTGCCTGCCCTGGCCCCGCTCCGGGAGCGTCTTCCCTGGAATGCCAGGCAGGAGGCGGGTTAGGCCGTCCGGGCGTGCGCCTGGCCCTCTCGGAGCAGTGGTTTCATCGTATTTCCCATGAGAAAGACTTGTTCGGGGTACGCGAGGCCCTGGAGCTTCTTAGGGCCGTGTTTAGCTAATCGCGAGCATCGCAGAGGCTGCCCTGAGTTCGGTTTTCTTTTGTATAATACAGTAAATTCTCGGAACGGAATCTTCACTGCGCAGAAGTCTCAAAGCACACGTCTTATAAACATTGACTGTAGGTTCTCTGCAGTTGTGCAAAATCTTAACACAAAACCCGTTTGGTAATAAAGAGCTGGATATTTGCATGTAATGCACCGAACACAGCACGCGGTGCGGTGTAGTCGTTTACCTCGTGATCCTGTGGTTGCTGCTTGGTGTCGGAAGGTATCATACCGTATAGCCCTCGCTCAGAAATAGAGCAAAGACTTTTTTTTTTTTTTTCTTCTTGAGACAGAGTCTAGCTCTGTTGCCCAGGCTGGATGCAGTGGCAGGATCTTGGCTCACTGCAGCCGCCCCCTCCAAGGTTCAAGCGATTCTCCTGCCTCAGAGTAGCTGGTATTACGGACGTGCGCCCCCACACCTGCCTCATTTTTGTGTTTTTAGTAGAGGTGGGATTTCGCCATGTTGGCCAGGCTGGTCTCAAACTCCTGACTCAGGTGATCCACTGCCTTAGCCTCCCAAAGTGCTGGGATTACAGGCGTGAGCCGCTGCTCCTGGCCAAGATCAAAATTTGAAGCAGGGTTTCTACTGAATGCATATTGTGTTCCCACCATTGCAAAGTCGCAAAGTTTAAGTTGGACCGTCATAGGTCTGTCTCCCAGCTTGTACATAGAGAGGAAAGGTGAATGAAAAACCTTAAACAGGTTTTTTTGATGAATAGGTGCCAACCTCTGCTGCCCACTTACCTAATTTTTTACGCCTAGCATGAGAGGTATTTGCGTTACTCCTTTGTGGTACTTGAAGGAGATTTGCGGGCTTGTGTTTGATACAAGATGGGTCTTGATTTATGTTGTTTCACCTAGAGTCGTTTTTCAGCTGCATGAGAGACTTAGGTCATGCATGGAAGTGGGATTACATGAGACGAGCATGTTAAGGTGCACTGAGACCCCAGCCATCTCTAATGCTCTGTGACAGTGGTGGTGCTAAATGATGGTGTATGGAGAGAGCCTTTCAGTGAGTGAGGGGAGACAGAGATGGGGGTCACATGTGTGTCCGCATTACCCAGAACAGGCTCTCACCTTTGAGGTGGTGACCGCATGTGGCAATAAATAGCATCTGGTAGGAATAATGTCAGTTTGCTGATGTTTTGTATAAAGAGAGGAGGTTATCAGGTCAGTTTCACTTCAGACCATGTGGGGTCACTGCCTAGTTCCAAGCCCAGCTCTTACCAGTAGGTAGCTTACCCTTCTCAGCAAGTTCAACGTGACGCCATGTTTTGCTAGTATTTAAAAAGGTGGTGGTCCGGGCCTATAAGGGTGGTGGAATCATGCCTATAATTCTAGCACTTTGGGAGGCCAAAGCTGGGAAGATCATTTGAACCGAGGAGTTCGAGACCAACCTGGGTGACATGGAAAGCCCCGTTTCTACTAAATATAAAAAAGCCGGGCATGGTGGCGCGCTCCTGTGGTCCCAGCTACTCAGGAGGCTGAGGTGGGAGAATCAGTTGAACCTGAAAGGCAGAGGTTGCAGTGAGCCAAGATCGCACTGCCACAGTCCAGCCTGGGCGACAGAGCAAGACTGTCAAAAATTGTTTGGAGACCTGGGTTTTAGATGATGTGGCTTTGAGGGTAGAGGTCACAAACTCTTGGGGATAAAGTGAGGTGTTTATGTAGGCATACCACAGAAATCACCATTTACGCTAGGCTTGAGTGAGCCGTGGTTATGCTACTACTGCACTCCAGGCTGGGCAACAAAGCAAGACCCTGTCTCAAAAAACAAAAAAGTACTGTCTTAACCATTGTAAGTGTACAGTTGAGTGGCATTTAGTAAATTCACTTGGTTGGGCAGCTGCCATCGCCACCACCAAACTCCAGAACTTTATCTTCCCAAACAGAAACTCCTCCATTAAACACCAGCTCCCCATTCTTCCTCCCTGGCAACCACCTTCCAATTTGTCTCTGAACGTGACTGTTTTGGATACCCCATACAAGTAGCATCTGCTGTTGAGTATTTGATGTTTTGTGACTGGCTTCTTTCTCTTCAGATGTCCTCAAGATGTGTCAGAACTTCCTCCTTTTAAACAGGGTCTCACTCCTGCCCAGGCTGGAGTGCAGTGGTGTGCTCACGGTTCACTACGTCCTCAATCTCCTGGGTGCAAGTGATCCTCCCGCCTTAGTCTCCAGAGTCTGGGCCTACAGGCGTGCACCATCACGCCTGGCTAATTTGGTGTATTGTTTTTTTAGAGATGGGATCTCACTGTATTGGCCAGGCTGGTCTCTAGCTCCTGGCCTCAAGCAGTCCTCCCACCTTGGTCTCCCAGAATGCTGAGATTACACCCATGAACCACCACACCCAGACCGGAATTTTCTTTTGAAGACCCAGTTTTCCATTGGTGGGGAGGCCACGTACTGTTTCATTCATCTATTGATGGACATTGGGTTGTCTCTGCATTTTAGCTATTGTGAATAATGCTTTGAACATGGGTGCGCAAATATTTCTTCTGTGGTTGCTTTTGGTTCTTTGGTGTGTATACCTAGAAATGGAATTGCTGCACATGAGGCATTGTTGAATAAACTTTTTTTTGAGATCGAGTTTTGCTCTTGTCACCCAGGCCGGAGTGCAATGGCAGGATCTTGGCTCACTGCAGCTTCCGCCTCCTGAGTTCAAGCGATTCTCCTGCCTCTGTGTCCCAAGTAGCTGGGATTACAGATGCCTGCCACCATAGCCAACTAATTTTTGTATTTTTAGCAGAGATGGGGTTTCAACATTTGCCCAGGCTGGTCTCGAACCCCTGACCTCAGGTGATCTGCCCGCCTCAGCCTCCCAAAGTGTTGGGATGGTGTGAGCCACCTTGCCTGGCTTATTAAACATTTTTTTAAAAGCTCCGTATGTCTTTGCAAATAGTCAGCTTAGTTCAGCTGTTGGGGGCAATGTTACAGTACTGACATTGGTCTGGATGACTATCTAAGAAGGAGCCCAGGCAGCCAGTACGTTGGGCAGGCTCCACGTCACAGTGCCCCTGCTTCCTGTGATGTGTCCCGTTCCTGTAGGTGTTACTGGCACAGTGTAATTGGGGGTCTGTGAGTACATGATCGCCTGGCGGGTGCTTGCACTGACGCGTTAGGGCCCGTGTTCAGCCCTCAGCCACCTGCTTCGTGATTGGCACATCATTGCTTTTATAACGATGAATTCCTGGGAGTGTCTGGGCAGTTTTTAAAGTGGTTGGAAGAAGGCATTCGGCGAGTACATGAAGTGGGTAGACTAGTCCCGAAGTGTTTTAACAGCAGCCAGATGGAAATGCATTCACACGTGTACATAAGCAGACTGGTGCACAGCTTCAAACCCCACACAGTTGAATTTGAGGTGCACTTTAGAGCCTCTTCTTGTCTGAGCTGTGATCCTGAGATAGAATTTGGCAACATGAAATAACCCAGAAAACAGATTTCACGTAAATTTGGGGAAGAGCCTTGGTGCGTGCTGTGTGCAGTGGCCGAGGCGTCCTGAAGAGCGACTGGCCCAATGTCATCTCACATGGTGGCTTTCCAGGAGTGGAGGGCTGAAAAGCGCTCAGCCCAGCACACAGTGTCTCCTTACTCTATGACTGCTTCCATCCCTTCGAGGAAAGATAGCAAGGTTGATAGAGGACGTTCTGCAGTGTTGTATTCAGTGTACCAAATAAAAGTTCGAAGCTGGATGAACAGGTAATAGGGTTTTCTGTTTCAGCAGAGGGGTTGGTACTGGAGGTGGGTGCTGATTGTCAGTTGAGCACTGCTGACTGCTTGAGTGTAAAAGCACATAGACTGTGTAACGTCTGTTTTCTGTGATACAGTTTAATTCCTGATTCTGTCTCTGGTAGCTGTCAAGATCAAGAAAAATAAGGACAATGTGAAGTTTAAAGTTCGATGCAGCAGATACCTTTACACCCTGGTCATCACTGACAAGGAGAAGGCAGAGAAACTGAAGCAGTCCCTGCCGCCTGGTGAGTGAGCCTGAAGTCTCTTTTGGGGTGTGAGGGGGTTGGAAGGCTGCTGTGTGTGGCCATCTTGTATCTTGTTTTGAATCCCTCCCAGATTTCAGAGCCCACTTTATGGTCTAAGATTCTGCTCTTGCTGTTGGGAGTGTGAGGAATAGTTGTGATTCTCAGATTATATACAGTACCAGAAACGCTTGCCTTAGCCAGAGGAGAGGTTAGAGGTCATTTAGTCCTGTTCACAACCCATTAAGGTTGATGCTGGTACTGATAATCCCTGTTTTGTACAGGAGAACTGATTGAATATGAGAGACCAAGTCTTTAATATTTTAACGGAAACCTCCCTGGTGGATCTGATTTCTGAACCTTGTGTGCTCTCTTTAGCTTAAGTACAGAGTCTAGACAGGCAGCAACAACTCAGGTGTCTTCCGGATGGGTGTCTTCTGGATGGGTGTCTTCTGGATGGGTGTCTTCTAGATGGCTTACCTTTGTCTCTTTCCCTCCAGGTTTGGCAGTGAAGGAACTGAAATGAACCAAAACACACTGATTTGACCTGTATGTTAATAAATACTAAAAATCCTAAGTGTCTTTTGTCTTTGAGGATGGGGAAGGAAAAAATGCTACCTGGTAATGGCTTCTGGTGGGAACAGGACATGGGTGCTATTAACGCCTCCCTGCGTCTCTCATCTGTTTTGTTTGTTTGTTTGTTTTTGAGACAGCCTTACTTTGTCACCCAGGCTGGAGTGCGGTGGTACAGTCTCTGTCCACTACAGCCTCTCCCTCCTGGGTCCAAGCAATTCTCGAGTAGCCGGGATTACAGGCACAGGTCGCCACGAGAGGCTGATTCTTGTATTTTTAGTAGAGATGGGGTTTTGCCATGTTGGCCAGGCTGGTCTTGAACTCCTGGGGTTTCACTGCCTGCCTCGGCCTCCCAAAGTGCTGGGGTTACAGGTGTAAGCCACCATGCCTGGAGCATCCCTAACATGATCTCAGTGGGTAAATGAGGCCATCTGTTTTTAGCCCGAGTTTGAAAATAAGGAGATGTAGGGAAGCCGTGATGGAAATAGCCCCTGGGATTAAACACACTGGCAGCTGTGGGGGCGATGGGGCATGCCATTCAAACAGGTCCCAAAAGGGGTGTAGTAAGGGCCAGGCTCTGCCACTAGCTCACTTGCCTGACGGAGAAATGACTTCAGTTCTGCCCATTTCCTCAGTTGGAAAACAGCCATATTAACACTTCTTGGACTTGCTGTGAGGGTTTTGGGATAGAAGGGGAGACGGGCGCGGGTTGGGGCGGCCACCAGGTGGTGCTGTGCTGCAGTGAATGGCCCGGCTAGAAATCATCAAATCTGTGTCTCGGCCCGAGGTTTTTTTAAGTCTCTGTTTTAAAGGTGTGCTGCACAGTGTGCTTGGTGTTGTGTGAGGCATTTACACATGCTCAGGTTGTGAGGTGTGAGTGCCAGTCTTTGCATATTCTGCAAGGAATGTGAGGTGGTTTGTTTCCTCCGGGAGACAGGGTATGCTGGCCCTCAGGCCCAGGTGCAGGGCTGTGGGCGGCCTCAGCTTCCCTGTTCTGTAAACATCTCGCATTCCCAAGGAAGAGCAAGTGTTTACCACATGGGTTTTGTTTGTTTCCAGCACATCGTCCAGAGATTGATCCCAGCTCCTAGGAGATGGGCCCTGCAGGGGTGTGTCCGGCCTTGTCTAGAGAAGGCCACCTTTCATGCGATGCCTCCCAGCCCTGGCTTGTGACTCAGTCACCAGGGACACTGAGGCAGTTCACTATGGTGGCCGGGGCTGGGTAGAGATGGCAGTTGCGGTGGTCTGTGGCATAGTGTGTTTCCAAGCTCTCAGGTGGGCCACAGCCTTGGGGGGCTTCAGTGAGCCGTTAAGGGTTACACACCAGGTGAAGGTGGGGGAGTGTTCTCTAACTCCCTGCTGAGTCCTGGGAGGTCTATTCATGTACTGCTTCCACTTTTTGACACCTGTAGGTCAGCAGGCCGGGGAAGCAGCTGGAATGAATGGTCGCTGTCTGGATGCATGTAGGTGGGCTCAGCAGGTTTGGACAATCCAGGCTGCGTTTCTCTGGCTGTCGGAATGGCCTTGAGGGACGGCCTCTGCAGTTTGCTGCTTCCAGTGCCACATGCAGGCCTCCAGCCTTCTCAGGCTCCCCTGCACCAGGTTCAGAGTCCTCAGTGACCACCCACTGCCCAGGAAGCAGGCTCTTACACTTGGGGGTCTCTGAGGGCTGGCGCAATAAAATGAGGTTTTCACCCAAAGAAGTTCCTTTCCTACCACAGCCTCCACGCCAGTCACCTGGCTCCTGCAGTTCTCTGGCTCCCCTCTCCCCTCTCCTGTTCTGGAACTTGCTTCTTCTTCCACCTGCCCTAGTCCCTGATCTCACAGGGTCCTATTCGCTCTGCACAGAGCTTCCTCCAGTACCCCCTAGTTCACTGGCATTTAACAGGGCCTGCAATTGCTGGAAGATACAAGTCCGCCTCACCTCGCCTACTAGGCTGTAGACACCACACAGGTGGGAACGTGGTGTTTTCTATCCCCTAGAGCAGAGAATGTGTTCAAGAAAATTTGTTGAGCTGGGGAAAGGTGGACTGATGAGAGAAGAAAGGGTGTTCCTGGCCTCCCCGGCCCCTCAGCTTTGGGCTCCTGCAGATGATGTGGCAGCAGGGCCCTGGGACTGTGGGATCACGAGGAGAGGCCCCAAGGGCAGGACTCCCTGATCTGAGCGCGGGGTGATGGGCCCCACCCCCAGCAGCCATGTGTGTTTGTGAGCCCCCTCCCCACTCCCACCCCCGCATCTAACGGGTCCCTTCAGCCAGAACCCTAGGAGCCCCGCCCCGTCCTCCCTTCCTCTCTTCTCTCCGCAGCCTCTGCTGCGGTCACTCTGCACCCCTCAGGCTGTCTGCCCAGTGCGGCTCCTCCCTCCGCTGACGGTCATGCCAAGCAGTTTGCGGTTGCAGGACCGGTGGGGGCCTCTGCGTGCAAGTACTGAGGTCCCAGGAGCACGAGGCTTCCCTGATGGGTCACCCCGCCTCCCACCCCCACCCCCGCCATTGCTTTTCTCCAGAGCCCCTCCTGGCCTGTGTTCGGCGTCTTCTCGGGTACTGCGTCACCGCCTTCTGCAGTGCCTGCACTCGGGGTGAGGGTTTTTGTCGGCTTTTGCCACATCACCGATGTAACGGTGCCTGGCACTTGGTAGGTGCTCAATAAATACATGCGCTTCAGTCTCCCCAAAGGCTCGTCCCTTCCGAGCGCTCCCATCGCTCTCCTACCTTCCCCTCTACACAGCTCGAAGGCCCTCTCCTCCAGGAAGCCCACTGTGTCCTGCTTGCCAGGAAGAATCAAGCAATTTTTCTCAGTCCCTAGGACACCTCGTCGTCACTCAGGCGCCCTGCAGGCGGCTTCAGTGAGTTGTTGGGGCAGATGCGCCGGGAGCTCCTGAGAGCAGGGACTGCTTCTTATTTCTCTTTGGGTCCACAGGGCTCGCACAATAGATGGCCAAAAAATGATTGAGAGTGAATTTGGAATGAGTGACCGAGAGGCTGAAGACTGCCTCCTTCCGTTCCGGGTCTGTCGGTTACTTATCCTGTGACAAGCCCCTGGGACGCGCAGCTTCCCCTCTCTTTGACTATGACTGCTGGCTGCCCCCACTGCCTCCTATACCCTTGATCTGATCATAAATAACAAGCAGTCCGGGGACCTCGCGACTGAAACGGATTTAGAGACTTCTGGGAGGTTTTTTCACTTCCCTCCCACCTCTTCCTCCCCTCCAGCCAGGACAGATCCCCGCCCAGAAAGGGGCTGTTGGCTGTAGGAGCTGCGCGCCCAGAACTGGGGCTGGGCCGGGATCGCGGCGGGGCGGGGCGGGGCGGGACGGGGCGGGCGCGCGCCCAGGGAGAGGCGGGGCCGGGGGCGGGGCGGGCTCGGGGCTCGGGGCCCGGGCCGGGAGGCGAGCGCAGCTGCAGCTCAGCGTGTGGGTTGCACTTGGGCCGAGCCATGCAGGCGGCGCGCGTGGAGTACATCGCTCCCTGGTGGGTCGTGTGGCTGCACAGCGTCCCGCACCTGGGCCTGCGCCTGCAGCCCGTGGACAGCACCTTCAGCCCCCGCGACAAGAGTTACCAGGAGGTGAGTTCGCGCCGTCCCAGATCCCGGCCACGCGCGCCCAAAGTCCCCACACTACCCCCTCTCCCCTCGAGAACCTGCACTTTCCCACGTGCCTCTCAGACCCCTTGTCTCCCCGCGCAGCCCTTTCCTGTCTCCCCTCTCCCCTTCTCCTCCACCCTCCCAGGCCCGTGGCCCGCGGCCCCTCCGGTCTGGGAACCTGGGGGCCGGGAAAACTGAAGAGATGGGAGTGAAGCGGGAGTGGGGAGGGGAGGAAGGGCGCGGGACCGCCTGCGGGGGAAGGGGCTGAGCGTCGAGCTGGGAGTGGGGTAAGGGCAGGGTCGGGGCAGGGGCCTTCGTGTCGGGGTAATTCTGGCGCGCGAGATGCGGGGATGCTGAGGGCTGCCCTGACGTTTTCGACTTTCTGAGATTTCAAGATGGGGCGCTCTCTTTCCGAGGCTGAGTGACCTGGGAAAGTTTGGCAGAAATTGAGTAGCGTCTCCTGAGTCTGTCTCTTAGCACCCCTCCTCCCCAGCCCCGGCCTGCAGGGTGGGATTCCCTGCCAAGACCTCAGCCTGAGCCCCTGCTGGAAGGCTGCAGAGTTGGGGGAGGCGGCGTGGGTGATTTTCCCTCAAGCGCAGGGAACCCACAGCTGCTTGTGCTTGTTCAGGGAAGGAAGGCGGCCTTGGTCAGCTCATCTCACTGTTGCCCAGAGGTCCCCCTTGTGTTGACTGCCTGCCTCTCCTCTGTCCTCTGGTCCTGGGCTGGCCCATTCCTGTTCCCCCGCACCCCTCTCCCCACCCCACACCTTCTAAGCCCTGAATTTCTGGCCTAGGGGAGTCACTCCCGGCTTCCCCCCCCCCTTTTCCTAGTCTGCTGACCCTCCCCTTTGTGGGATTCTGCACCCCACGGACAGGGCCAGGGCTCCCCAGACCCCCCTGCCCAGACAAAGCTGCAGAATCTCCCAGCCCGACTCAGGTCTGGTCCTGGGAGTCCACCTGTATCAGTTTCCAATGTTGGGTCAAAGTTTCTGGGGCCGGGGCCCAGGATGGGGTCCATTTCCTCAGAGCCAGGCACCCATCTCAGGACTTTGACCCCCAGCAGCCTCTCCCTGTGTCAAGTTCCCCAGATACGGGGCAGGTCAGGGCAAAGCTGGGCCTCTTGGAGGGACTCCTGATCCAGCTGAGTGTGAGGTGCCCAGGCGCCAGTGACAGGGAGTCTAATAATAACCCCTGGTGACCTAGCTGCCATCAGGCCCAGGCAGAGGGTGCCTGCGCTACCAGAGGAAGGGGAGTATCAGGACCCCTTCCTAGGGTTCAGTGGGCACTTGGGAGCAAGGTGGTAGTCAGTGGGCACACCCGCCCCTCTCTCCAAATCTGTCTCTGCCCCTCCCTCCCCCAGAGCCCAGCCTGTGGGAGTCTGTGTTCCCTGAGAATGTGGCTGCCGGCGGATAGCTCCAGGGAA